CCGACTTTGGAAATAATTATGCATAAAATGGACTCAGGACAAGATGCGTTTCCTATAAGTCTTCCTACCATTATGACCAAGTTGCGAAAATAAGGTCAAACAACTTCTATACAATGGAAGGAGACTGCAACCATAAAAAAGACCACACCATCTTGGTCTTCATACTTTCAATTAATCTGTTAAATGATTTTACGAGAGCCGGTTTTTACATATCAATCTACACATTTCAGTTTCAATAAGATCAGGCTCTACCAAATGCCTCATCAATCTCGCATTTTTGCCACTTTTTTCAACCCTACAAGGTCGTCCTGCAGCGTCGCCATGACGATCTGTTTGAGATTTCAATGCTCCATTGTATGACTAACCATCGCATGTCACTATTGCCTAGTCGGTAGTGAGTAGTGAGTAGTGAGTAGTGCGTGGTCAGCATTGGGCAGTTGGCTCTGCTCGTGTGTGGCGGTCGTCGGGGCGTGTGTGTCCGAATGAACCGGCCTCTTCTTCTTGCTCGCCTCGTCTCGCCCGTCCGGAGCATCGGTCTCCCTTTTTTCCGGCTCATTCCGGCCAAGCCCGAATGGCTGCTCTTTGTTGCCTCCGCCTCGGTCACTGTTGCTCTCACCTGATTGATTGTGTGCATGTGTGTGTGTTTTGTGTGTGTGAATGGCTGTTTGGCAGAGTGGACTTGGGCCGACAGGTATGGCAGACACGTGAAGTGCTTCTGATTGGCCGAGATGTTGTGGGCCAATCAGTCTCCGGCCAGAAGTAGCCCAAGTGTGATTGTGTGTGATTGTGTGTGTGTGTGTGTGGGTGGGTGGTTGGGTGGGTTGGTGAGTTGAATGTGTAAATGTAGATGAGAGCAGAGAGTGAATAGCTGCGATGGGATGCGGCTGGCGGTTTGTCTCGTGCTGCTGATGCTGTACCAGTTGGAGGAGTGGAGGGTGATCGGCGTGGGTGTGGGTGTGGGTGTTGGTGTGGGTGTTGGGCGACGGGGGCGGCCAGAAGAGGCGTTGTTGTGGGGCTGTGAGGAGGGCGAGAGGCGGGTGGAGGTGGTGCGCACGGAGCACTGTCGGGTGGAGTGTCGTGCGTGGCGCGAGGCGGGCGAGACGACGTGGCGTCGGTGTTTGGGTCTGGTGTGTCGCGGTCTCGAGGCGCCGTTGGGCGAGTACGTCAACAACAACAGCCAGTTGCTGCCGTACTTGGCGCGGGTGCGTCGTGTCGTGGTGGAGCGCAGTCGGCTGGGCCAAGTGACCGACTTGTGTCTGGCGCGGTTGTCGCGCGTGGACACGTTGATCCTGCGCGAGAACGCCATCTCGACGCTGTCGAGGCTGGCGTTCGCCGAGCCCGGCGGCATCGGCCAGCGCCTCGGCCGACTCGACCTCGCCTTCAACCGACTCGCCCAGTTACCGTCCGACCTGTTCCAGCCTTGCGTCCGCCTCGGCCGGCTCAGTCTGGCCGGCAACCCGCTCGACCTGAGCGCCGATTGGGCGACGCGTCTGCTCGGCCCGCCCGTCGCCGTCAGCCTCGCCCACGTCGACCTCGCCTTCATGCGACTGGCCGCCGTACCGACCGCTTTCCTCCAACCGCTGCTCGGCCTTGTCAGCCTCTCTCTCGCCCACAACCGACTCGTGCGTCTCCGCGCGGCCGAGTTCGACGCCCGCGTCTGGCGACGCCACATGATCTACGACTTCCGCTTCAACCAGATCGGCGAGGTCGACGTCGACCTGCTGCGTCGACATCCGCTGCCCGTCGCCCTCGACCTGCGCTCCAACCGCATCCGCGACCTCGCCTTCGTCCACGAGGCGGCCGCCGCCCGCCACCCCTGCTCGTTCGACCGGTGCAGCGTCAATCTGTTCGACAACCCCATCGTGTGCGACTGCCGATTGGCCAACTTCACGCGATTCAAGACCAGCTCCGGACTCGTCATCGGCCGCTGCCACGAGCCCCGAAACGTCCGCGGCGCCGCACTCTCCGGTTGGACGCCCCGCGTCCGCGCCTCGCCCCACGCCTACCTCGAGGCCGTCGCCGACACCCACCTTCGCTGCCCTCCCGCCCAGCAACACGACTCCGAGTCCCGTCTCGAGTCCCACTCTCAGTTCGACTGCCGCTGCAACGGATGGAGACCGGCCAGAGAGTACTTCACACCGACCTGCCACTTGCGCAACCTCACCCGTCG